GTAGCATTTCTGGGTCACGTTGTATCAGCTGAGGGTATTCAGGTGGACCCGAAGAAGATAGAGGCAGTCAAGAACTGGCCTAGACCAGCATCAGCGACAGTGATTCGGAGTTTCTTGGGGTTAGCAGGCTACTACAGGCGGTTCGTAGAGGGATTTTTATCTATTGCAACCCCGATGACTAGATTGACCCAGAAGGGTGCCCAGTTCAGATGGTCAGATGAGTGCAAGGCGAGCTTTCAGAAGCTCAAGACAGCTCTGACTACGGCACCGGTGTTGACTTTGCCCACAAGATCAGGGCCCTATACAGTCTATTATGATGCTGCCCGTGTGGGACTTGGAGCAGTGTTGATGCAGGATGGCAAGGTCATTGCCTATGCTTCGAGACAGTTGAAGATTCATGAGAAGAACTACCCAGTGCATGATCTAGAGTTGGCAGCCATTGTTCACGCCTTGAAGATTTGGAGGCACTACTTGTATGGCATGGCGTGTGAGGTGTTCACTGATCACAAGAGTCTTCAGTACCTATTTAAGCAAAAGGAGTTGAATTTGAGGCAGAGAAGATGGTTGGAGTTGTTGAAGGATTATGATGTCACCATTCTTTATCATCCGGGAAAGGCCAATGTAGTGGCCGATGCTCTGAGTAGGAAGTCAGCCAGCATGGGTAGTCTTGCTTATATTCTGGTCAGTCAGAGGCCGTTTGCTTTGGATGTTCAGGCTTTAGCCAATCAGTTCGTGAGACTGGATGTTTCTGAGCCCAGTCGAGTGTTAACCTGCACGGTCGCTCATTCTTCATTATTGGAGCGTATCCGTGATCGGCAATTTGATGATCCCCATTTATGTGTCCTTAGAGACACGGTGCAGCGAGGAGGTGCCAAGCAGGTTACCTTAGATGCGGATGGAGTTTTGAGATTGCAGGGGCGAGTTTGTGTGCCCAATGTGGATGTGCTTCTAGAGTTGATTTTAGAGGAGGCCCATAGCTCCAGGTACTCTATTCACCCGGGCGCCGCGTAGATGTATCATGATTTGCGGCAGCACTATTGGTGGCGTAGAATGAAGAAGGAGATTGTAGCATATGTGGCTCATTGTTTGAATTGTCAACAGGTTAAGTACGAGCATCAGAGACCTGGTGGTTTACTTCAGAAGATTGAACTCCCCGAGTGGAAGTGGGAGCGGATTACCATGGATTTTGTTACAGGGCTTCCGTTGACTCGGAAGAAGTTCAATGCGATATGGGTTATATTGGATAGGCTGACCAAGTCAGCGCATTTCATTCCTGTAGCAGTCTCCTACTCATCCGAGAGATTAGCCGAGATTTATATCCGGGAGATTGTTCGCCTTCATGGTGTGCCGGCATCTATCATTTCGGATCG